TCCCTGTTCCCGCGCCCGGGCCGCGGCCCGAGCTTCCCCGGAGCGGCGCCTGGCCTCGGGCGGCACGGCCCCCGCACACGAGTGCCCATAAATCAGCGCCCGTGGCGCCGGTAGTTCCGAGTCGGGAGAGGTCCAATGTGGACGGCTTCTTGTCTTCCTGTTTCCTCTCCTCCCTTTGACAAAGTGCGTGACCTAAAACCCTGTGCGCCAGCACCTCGGCCGTAGAACTGGCTCAGGTACAGTCCTCTTCGTGCGGGTGTTCGTTTGTTTGCCTTTTACCCGGAGACGGTGTTCCGGGACGTTTGGAGGGGGCTTCCTGGTCCCCTTCTTCAGGGACAGCCGCGGCCTCCGGGCAGCGGGAGCCGGCCCGCGCCGCCCGAGGACGCGGGTCCCGCACACCGGGCCGGGACTCTGGACCTGAGCTCCGCGCCCCGGAGGAGCGGGACGCGCGCGGTGTGTGAGGGCGGGGGGCTGGGACCCGCGGCACCGGCGCCCGCTCCCCTCCAGCGCCTGGAGCCCAGCGTGGGTGGGGGGCTGGCTTTCAAACAATGGCAGAAACGTGGAATTATGTGTCAATTGTAATCTTTAAACGTTGACAACTACTTAGGAAATTTTAAAGGAAACCACGTAAAGGCATTGGCAGGCTGACTGCAGCCCCCCCCCCCCGCCGTCCGCCCCCAGCGTGACGACATCTGTAGTGGGAGCGCTCAGATTGGAGTGGGGGTAGAAAAGCAAGCAGTGGTGCGGGGAGGAAGCGGGACGCAGATTCTGTTCCCGTGCACCCGCAAGGGCCGGTGTGCCTGCCGGGCAGCGGGATCCCCACTGTCAGGTCACCCCTGCTACATTACTGACAGCTTCCCTAAAGGAAGGATGGCAGTGCCATCTGAGGGCGTTCCGACTTGTCCACACAGCGATGGCGTCCTGAGTTCCCTGAGGGCCTGCCAGGACCCCTCCAACCCAGTGTGTCTCCCCCCAACCCAGCCTCCATTCAGCCCGCACCCTTGGGTGCATGCCACCTCTATTCATTCCTCTCTGCACCAGGCCTGCTCCCCACATTGGCGCTGACATCACCCCCAGTGAGCTGCGGGGCACTGTCCAGTCCAACAGGAAGTGTGGGAGGTTAAGTCTGAACCCCCACCCCATCCCCCAGGAAAGAAGGGAGCTGCAGAGGAGGATGAGGCCATTCTGCTGCATCTGGTGCTCCCCAAAGCCCCACCCACCTTGAGAGTAAACAGGGACAAGGAAGTCATGGGGTGCCTCCCCACCTCCTAAGGTAGGGAGGGGACAGGCTCCCAACCTGTGCCCCTTGCTCACCCTGAGGACCTGGGGCATTTTCTTGGAGTATCTGTATGGTTTTACTTGTTGCCGCAAGGAGTTACGAACTCTGCACCTTGAAAGAGACCTCCCACCTCGCATAAAGGAAAAGGGACAATGAAAATGAGTGCAAGTGTAAAAACCATGTTTAAACACAGAAAGACGTTTGCTGTGAGAATAGCAGAACCCAAGGCGGCAGCCTTGCCTCCTGCCGTGCCACAAATGTACAAGACCACGGGTGGAGGGGAAGGCAGCTGCCCAGGCCAGCAGCCACGTGGGCCTTTTCAGTCTCTTAAACAGTATGTTGTCTTTTCAATAAAACAAAGAACGCATCAGACGCACTCTCTTAAATGTAAAAATAAACATAACCAAGACCACAATTTAATTGTTGCTCTCGCCGTGTGAAAGACATGCAGTGTACATATAGGTGTATTACCTATGCTTTTGTTGTCCACCTGGAATACTACATGATAAAACATTAAAAAAAAACAAGACCTGCATTTAGCTGGCAGCTGGTGGCCTGGGCCAGGCCGCCAGAGTCCTGTCTGACAGGTGACTTCTCCACCTGAGCCAACAGTGCTCCTCAGCACCTCGGACCCCGCAGGATGTGCCTATCCACGAGAATGGATCCACATCTCAGGATCAAACTCATGAACACGTAACTGATCTGTAGATGCAGGCACACTCATTTCTTAGGGCCATCAACATTATCATAAACAGCGACTTACAAAACAACAGGAATTTATTCTCTCAAGTCCAGAAGCCACGAGTCTAAAACCAAGGTGTGGGCAGGGTCCTTCCTGCCTCTTCCACTGCTGGTGGCCCCAGGCATCCTGGGCTTGTGCCACATCCCTACAATCTGTGCTTTCGTGGTCACATGGCTTCTCTGTCTTTGCACCTTTCATCTTTTGAGGACACTAGTCATTGGATTTAGGGCCCACCCTAAATTCAAAATGGTTTCATCTTTTTAAAGAAAGGGGGGGTGGGAGGGTGCCTGGGTGGCTCAGTTGGTTAAGCGGCTGCCTTTGGCTCAGGTCATGATCCCAGGGTCCTGGGATCGAGTCCCGCATTGGGTCCCTTTTCTATGGGGAGCCTGCATCTCCCTCTCCCTCTGCCTGCCACTCCCTCTGCTGTGCTCTCTCTATCAAATAAATAAAATCTTAAAAAAAAAAGTTTCATCTTAACAATACTTAACTACATTTGCAAAGACCCTATTTCCAAATAATGTCACATGCTAAGGTTTTGGGTGGATGTGAATTTTGGGGGGACAGTTCAACCCAATACAACATATGACCAGTTTGTCCACTTATGGAGAGAAGACCTTCCAGATAAATCAGAAGGCAGCCATCGGCCTGATCAGCCCCTTTGCCTGAGACATGAGTCTGGCGTGGAATCCACCAGTCAAGGCTGCCCTCTCTGTTCTGCCTGTAAAAGAAAGTGCGGTGGTGAAATCTGCTCCGTGGCCACCAGTAATAAGCAAATTGACACACTGAGCTCTCCACGCGGGGCCAAGCCCCTGTGGCAGTTGAGGGGATTGAAGCCTAGGAAGGTTGTCAGTAGCCCAAGGTCTCTCCTGGTAGGGACGGAAACCTGGGACTCGGACCCTAACACTGACAGACAGTGGTGCTGCTCTTTTCAGGCTGCCAAGGCTGCCCAAGCCCATGGTACACCAATTAGATGTCCGCTCCTAAGTTAGAGTCAGAGTTAGGCCTGCCTCCTCTGAGACTGACCC